CCAACCAATCCACCTTAAAACCTGCATCTTTCATGTATGTCAGTGCGATGTCTGCTTCCACAAAATCTTCAGTGGAGAGCTCATCAAGTGACTGGCACAGCGTCTCGATCAAGCTGAGCTAGAAATTCATGCATGCCTTCCTCAGATGTTGGTTCTTTCCACGGAATTCTACTGCAACATCGGGGTGCTTTTCAAACATACGTCTTACAGATTCTTCCTGCGAGTGGAAACAGACGTATAAAAGCATCACCTCAGATATCATTCTTTCAAGATCTGAAGAAACAGACCACAACATACACTATTCCAGTTTTTGGTTTTGTCATGTAATTAAGATCTTAAAAGTGTTTCTGGTCCTTAATAGAAAATTGTTTTCCAAAATAGAAACAAGCATTTTCTCCCTTAAAACAAGATTAGAATACTGCAATACAAAATAAATGATCCAAGTATCTTGTCGAGTAACGAGAAATTTGCACCATTTTTTACAAGTTTTCATACCTGTGAAGGGAGAACTTGAAAGCCATTGACATCTATGGTTTCCTTAGACTCGGCACCATCTTTTCCAGATTTCTCTGATGCATCTGAGTTTTCTTTGGTAAGACCGCTGCCGAAAAACACAAACGATTAGTAACTTTAAATGAACAAAAACAAATAGACAAAAAGGAGTTGTGTTTACCATTGACAGCCATTAATCACAAATGCATCAGATTGAAAAGCGGGCAAATTCTTTATGGCCCAATCCGATTCAGAGAACTCATTCAGCTTTGTTTTCAGCCAATCAAATTTAAAGCCGGCATCAATCAGATCAACCAGTGTGTCATTAGCTTTCTTCATATCATCCTCAGAGAGCTTCTCTGATGATTGGCACATCGTCTCAAGGAATTTAATCATTTCATTCATGTAAGCTCTTCTGATAGATTGGTTCTTTGGACGAAAGCCTACTGCTATGTCCGGGTGTTTTTTGAAGATATTGCTCACCGACTCTACCTGCTAGCCGAAAACAACATAAAACTAACTTGGAAAGAAGATTGTGAGGGTCAAACCTAAAAGGTGAAAATTGAAAATTGAAAATAACGAGATATATGCACATCCTAGTTAGGTAACTGATAAAAAATAAACTAAAAGAGATTATCTATGATATAGAGCATGCGGTCACATTACTGGAAGTCTCAGTAATAGCTGCGACGTTGTTAAGCCCCCTAACTACCACCATTTTCTACAGTCTAAGAAGTATCCTCCAAGGACTTTGCTTAGTTAAGAGAGCTTACATTTATAGCTCCATCATTCGAAACAAGAGTTGAATCATCATCATCGACATCTTCTTTAGGTGCAGCATCATTACCATGATTTCCTTTTGTATGAGAAACGTCCTCGAAGCCATTAGATTGGTTCAAAAGACTTATGTCCCTACCTCCATTATCCAAATCTTCTTTGGATGCATTCTCAGTTTTTTGCGCCATTTGGAAAAAAGAATCCCACTGAGATTTTGCATCAGAAGCTTGTTTGCATCTCAGAGGCTCACTAATCTTGACAGTTTCCTCAGGTACAACAGCAACAGATGCTGGGGAAACGAGTAGATCAGCGACCACGATAGCGAGTTTGTCATTCACCAGAAATCCTGGTAAGGGGCTCAAACTGATAACCCCAACCCTGATAATTCTTTGCGTCGAAAATGCATTTCCCTCTTGCCACAAAAAACAGAAGAGAAGAGAAATATCTGTCTTACAAAAGTGATCTAATGATAAAGAGCACCAAAGAGATAATGATTTATAGAATATTTCCCCAATCCTGAGAAAGAATCACAATATACAAGTTCCGATTTGCCCCAAGGCTTGACAAGAGTGAAGCTAAATTTGACTTGTCTTCTCCATAGTGGAGGCAAAGATGCAGGATCCGCAAGTTCCAGATAAACTAACAAGTGACCACCTGGTTTCATGTAATAAGCCACAAGGCGCCTGCAATGTGTACAAAGAACAAGAATCAAAAATCATCACCCAAAAACGGAAGAAAAAAATTCAACA